CAGTCGTTCATGAGAGATTTCACTGACAAAAAGTAAGGAAATTAGTTTTTGGTAGATTATTTCTTTGTTGTAACAATACTTCTTGGTAATAAATCTTATATCGATGACAAGCCTGTTTAATTCCCTTTCAAATTGTGCCACATTTGTAAGGAACATGCATTTGTGGGACGAGCAGTAGAGCTGAGTATGTGGGTTGAAAACATTAAAAATTAGCCTAATCTTCTCTACCAAACAACTTATTATGTTGTTGATCCTGGAACCCCCAGGTTCCGCCAATAATAAGATTGATCGTTACAAAATAATCTACCAAACACTAATTCCCGCACTTTTTGTGCAAAGTTTAGTTGTTAACAATAATGTAAACAAACAATTTGTGCAGCCTAAGTTCTCAGAATATGCTGGATCAGTCTTCATTCTGTTAAACTGACAGAATTAAACACATTTTTGTGTTTTTAAAAGTTTACTTGGCCGTGGCAGTTACTCMCTGAAGGTTTTAATGAAATCTGTCCAGTGGTTAAATCTCATCTTCACCTAAAGTCTGGTTGGTAAAAGTGTAAAAGTGTGGATCATATTTGTGACCCATCACGTCAAACTGAGGATGATGAAAATGATTTAAGCACATGTTCAGATTCCTGCTCTTTAAGCTACATTTAGACACCTGGCTCATCCTGTCCTCCTTATATCATAATGCCTTTAATATTTGGTCTGAATTGTCATTTTAAATAAAAAACCTTGAACAATGCTTGGATTTTAAGATGCTAGCTTGCAGAGAAAACGGCGAAAAAATTGTCGTTTCTGCTCAGAATCATGTTTTTGTAGCTACCGCTCAAAAAAGTTTCAAAAGCTTATTTAAGATTACTGCTGATATCTCATGAAAACAACCATATTCATTATATTTTGACAAAATGCAATTGTTGCAAACATCTCTCAAAGTAAATATATTTTAGCGAGTGGCCTAAATAGCGAGCGCTAACTTCTCCAACCCAAAGACGAGGACAATAAATAATTTGTCCTCCTTTCATGAAGGATGTGTGTCACTCTCCTCTCTTTTTCATGAGCTTTATAATTTGTTTCATTTCATCACCTCTTCCAAGTGGACGGTTGAAAGCATTCTTCACCGGCCTTTGGGGGGTTTGAGCCTAACAAAGCCAAGGACGACACACACACACACACACACGGACAGCTGAACTCAGCCTCGTTAGGGGGAAACGCAATCACAAGGGGCTTATCGTACTGACACAAAACACACACACACCCCAACACACTGAACCTGGTGCCCTCGCTCTGGCAGGCCATTGTATTGTGGGATTGTGCGGACAATCTCTTCATGAATGATTAAGCAGCGTATTTCTCAACCAAGTCTTTGAAGATGAGTGTGTGTTTGATCATCGGGYGAGTGTGCAGCGTTTTCTGTGATACGCCAGCGACCGTGTGCGAGTGACAAGCAGACCAAGCTTGTTGAAACGAAGCTTCGTTTTACCGGAACAGTGACACAATAAAAGTGTTTTGTCGTGTAAATCTGCATGCCTCCAGTATGTAATGGAATGAACAAAATATGTGATAAATATGCTCAGAAGTTGCATCTCTGTTCTGAAATATTAGCTGATTCGTGTTGCTCGAAGCACGTTTTCAGGGTTTGTTGCTGTTTGCATCGGTGCTGCTGCAATTATGCTAGATGGATTAGTGGCTAGTGTTGTAGCCTCACAGCAATAAGGTTCTGGGTTCAATCCCCGGTTCGAACCAGGGGTCTTTCTGTGTGGMRTTTGCACATTCTCCTCCTGCTAGCTTACTGTGGTACTCCGATTTCCTGCCACAAACCAAGAAACGTGCACAGGTACAGGCTTCTCTTGCAAAAGAGATTAAATAAAAATGTAATAAATGCATGAATAAATCGAGCTGAACGTATTAAAATCTGTCCAATTTAAACTGGTCACAGCACTTCTGCTGATGTACTCACATCGTGCACGTCCCTGAGTTGATAAAAATTGATCACTTCTACTCGTGCTTCTTACATTGTGATATTAACATCGCAGCGTTTCCTGTTTGGAATGAAAGGCACTCGAGACTGTGGCCAACCATTTAAGACGTGGACGCAAGAGGAACTGCCACCCCAGGTTGATCAAACGGATRGAGGAGATGATGGAAAAAGAGCCAAAGAAAACAACTAAAACGGTTCAAGCTGAACTCCAAGGTGGAAGTGTGTCACTTTGATTACATCATCCTTTGAATCATGATGGGTTCCATGGAAGAACACCCACTATAGAGAGGAAAAATAAATTAAAAAATAATATGTATATATATATATGTATATATCTATAAATAAATAAAAGATGAGCCCCAAAGTTTCTGGGAGTAATTTCTAAGACTGATGGAACAAAAACTGAGCTTTTTTGGTCTGTTGATGAAAGGTTCTAACAAATTTATCCACGTTTGTGTTCAAGAAATGGTGTATTATTTAGTTGTTTTTTTTTGTTTTTTTTTTTTGTTTTTTTTTTGTGATGAGTCCCTGTTGATTGTGTCCCTCCCCTAACGAGGCTGCTTACAGCTGCCCCGGCTTGTGAGAAACTATTGTTGGGCTTGTTCAATGGAGGGACGCTTGTTTGGGAAAAGGTTGCAAAGTCATGGGAAAAGAGAGCTTTGTCTCGGCGGGGTCGTGAGGGAGTGAATCATGAGCGGACGTGTTTATAGCTTAACACACACAGCTGTGTCAAACACACACACACACACACACGTGAAGAAATGAAAGCATCAAGAAGGGACAGAAAACCCCAAGACACAAACGTGCTTTTTTTGTTGTTGTCAAAAGAGACAAAACTTGAACAATGGAGACTTTAACTCTCACAAAGCAAATAAACCGCCTTACACAGAATCATGAAGACACAGACAAATGTCCAACACACACGCTATCACAAGGTCTCTTATCACACAAACTCTTGTGTGTGTGTGTGTGTGTGTCTTGGACAGGGTGTCTCTTTGTGGTACAAAGCCCAGCTTTCTCAGCTTAAAATTCAGTGTCATCTGCCTTTACAAAAGGCCCGGGCTCTTCGTTCCAAGCCACCTGGACCAAAATAGAGGCTCCAGTGTGGCACCCAAAAGTACAATACTTCTATTTTAAGGAGGTACACACACACAGACACCCATCGTCTYGAGCTGGACACAAAGGTTTCCATTCAAAACGGGGTCGTTTGACTAGATCATTTAAGTTCTGTTTTTATTTTTTTAGTCTAAAATCATCTTTATATTACTTGGGATGATTTGTTTTCACGACAGCAAAAAGAAAAACAATAAACATGAAATGCAACAACTATGATAGTTTTTAGAGCCGAAGCAGAAGTTTAAAACTGCCGTCAAAAACCAAAACGTGACAACTCATTAGCTCCAGTTCTTCAACACAAGCAGCTAATCAGCCAATCACATGGCAGCTGCTCCACGCACTCAGGCATCGAAATGTGGCGAAGACGACTTGCTGAAGTTAAAAATGAGCATTGAAATGAGGAAGACGGGGTGWATGTGGTTTGGAACAGGGTTTAGCATAATGGCATCGTGTGCAAATCGTCAGAAAAACAATCGATTATTTTTTGACACTTGATGATTAATTTGATTAATACCAGCAGGCAGAGTCCGCAGGGTGCTCTTCTCTGCTTCTAATATGACAAACATAAAAAACAAATGTTCTGTAATTTATTTATCAACACAATTTAAAATTTGATGTACAGCCTGAAGACTGTAATTTTGACACAATTCGGAACAGATTTTTATGGAGAGCAAATCTTTCCCACTAAATAAAGAGCTAGCTGCACGAAATTTGAACGTCATACATGTGAAAGGATGTGTAACAATATGACCTGTTAAAACATCCCTAAACAGCCTGTAAAAAGATCGCAAAAATTTTTTTTTACAGGCTGATTAGGGACGTTTTAACCGAGCCATATTGTTAAAAATTCTTTCACATGTATAATGTTCAAATTTCGTACAGCTAGTTTTTTCCTTTCTCAAGTTATRACTAAAATTAATCTAAAAAAAAGTTACTTCCTGCCCGACTCGATCAAGCTGCTCCCTGCTGCCTCCAGCCTCCTCAAACCCCACCGTCAATCCGAGCAATCRCRTCTCTTGGGCCATCTCGGCCCACATCAAAACCTCCACCAATCACGAGCAGGGACGTCTCCGCCCACTTTAAGACCTCGACCAATGACGATTTGGGCCGTCTCCGCCCACAGGACAACATGCTCTGCAGAGGCCCCTACTTGACTAAAATGGTCATGTGACTAGGACATAAGGGCGTCCAGGGACTCCAGGGGATTAATCGTCAAATTAATCGTTATCAACTAAATACCACAATTAATCTGATTAATTTTTTTTGCCAATATTGCCCAACCGTAGTTTGGAATGACTTGTTGATGTCAGAAGAAAACTATCAGACTGTTTGGAGAAGACAGACAGACAGTAGCTTAAATGATTAATTTCAATCGAAGGTGATACAAGGTAAACCTAATAAAGTAGCAGGTGAATGCAGTTTGTTTTTCAATATGCCTGTAAACCTCTACAAGTGATTAACCTTTGGAGTCAACCCACTTTAAGAAGACCACCACAGTGAAATTACCTTGAGTTAAAAAAAAGAGGCCAGTTTTACAGGCACGGAGCTAAAATCTTTCGTGGTCGAAGCTGATCCTCGACACGTCTTTTTGGCGCTGGGTGATGAAAACTCTACAGCTATGTGATCAGAACTACTAAGCACTTGAATCTGTTGTTAAAAAGTTTTGGGTTTCTACTTTCCACGATTCCTCAGAAGCACCAGTTCACAGTGAGAACACACACGTGTTGGGGGAGGAGCTACATCAGAAGCCGATTCAGCCCCTGAACGCTGATGAAAGAGAAATCTGCAACAATCACAATCACAAAAAAACTGCCTTTGTGGGCGCCGGAGACGCACAACAAAAAGGCATACACACACACACACACACACACACACACATAGACACAAACACACAGGCAGGCCTCACCTGGATTTGTTGCTGCAGGAGGTTGATTTTGTGTTGCTGCTGCAGAAGCTGCTGCTGTTGCCGGGCAATCTGCGAACAGAGCACAGGACGGYGTGTTCAGCGTGTGCGTGCGGCAGGTGTGTGCGGCCGTGCGTGCTGCGGGGGGCTCGCCACACATCYGCGGGTCTCTGCGGCCCCAGTTGTGCGACAGAGGGTCGATGCCCTTCTATGAAATATTAAAGAGCCGGTCTCATCTGGAGGAGAGCAGCCAGGCTCTGCGACTCGCTGACTCTGCTGCGTCAGAGTCCTGCTCAAAGTGTCAGGTTCTCAGGATYGCTTCGCTTCTTTTATATCCTTTATCTTTATTATATGAAGGTTATTTGGCTTTTACAAGATTTTCTTCTTCAACCTCTGTCTTTGCAACTTAACTACTTTAATTTTTAGCCGTTAATCAAAATATTCAGGTAATACAGGAAATGGGTGATGCAACTTGTGTTTTTGTATTTTGTATGTACTTTACAAAATATTTAACTTTATTTTAACCACTGGAATGCATTGAGGTCTCTTTAATTCCCCCATAAACACTGTTCTCATTGAAATCTGCCTCTGATTTGTATCRGCTTCTATTCAGCTCATTTTATCTTCTAACCAGCTGCTTATTTATATTTTAGCTGCTCTTTTGCTACTATTATCTTCTAGTGAATATGTTGCTACTTTTGACCAATGCTTTTATACTTTTAGATTTATTTACCATTTACTGTTGTTTTTAGCCAGCCTTTTGTTATATGTAGCTTTCAGCTGTTCTTTTRCCATTTTCATGCTACTTTTAACTTAATCTATCCTTTAGCTATTTTTGTTTTTAGCCAGTCTTTTGTTACAAGTATCTTTTAGCTATTATTTTGCTATTTTAGCTACTGACATGCTACTTTTAGCTTTTATCTACCCTTTTGCTACAGTTGTTTTTGGTTGTCTCCTTTTAGTTGTTAATCCTTTATTTTTAACTAGCCTTTTGCTGATTTTTAGATAGTGTTTTACTACTTTAAGTTAGCATTTTATATTTTTGGCAATAATTGTGCTGCTTATACTTTTAATAGGTGTTTTACTTTTACCTGTTTTGCTCCTTTTCATATTTTAGCTACCAGTTTGMTTCGTTTAGATTTGTTGTTTGCTTTTAAATTGAACGTTTAGTCAATCTTTTTTCACTGAAAGCTTTATTTCTGTAGTTTTCYCTCCTTTTAGCTGTTTTTTAAGTTTTTCATAGCCATCCTGAAAACCACAAAGGTGTCACTTGGTAAAAAGGAATAAAAAGTTTAAAGTTTGTTGGACTCGTTCTGAGCCTGCAGCTCTGTAGTCGTGTTTGTCACAGATGATTCGTCCCTTCAGCTGTTTCTCACAAAACAAAGCATAACATTAAGGGGAACCCTTCACTATGCAAATACCTGCAGACTCTCGCCTGAGAGGCTGAAGTGTGTGTGTGTGTCTGTGTGTGTGTGTGCGCGCGCTCTCAGCTGATTCCAGTACACGACTCTGGCTGCATGAAAAGTGAAATTGTTTGCAGGAAGCAGAACATTTCTGTCATGTTTGTTCATTTTCAAACTCAGTTTTTGGGAGAAACGTACAGATCTGTAGGATTCATGACGAGGATGTCGATGCACGAGAAATATCTACACTCTAAATCATATGGGATACAGCTGCTTCTACATACTTAGTTCTGATTTAATGATTAATTTATTAAAACGCTCAGTTCGATCAGTAATAGTGTTTTATATTTTTGCTTTTTGTAATTTATATATTAAAAAGTCAACCTGAAGAAAAAAAGTGTAATTTACTTCAGAATATTGCTCCTATTTTTGATGTATTAAGCTTATTTTAGCTACATTTAGCTGGTTTTAGTGTACGTTTCAGAACAAGATTCAGATTTGCTTTGTCATTCAAACATAACATCAGGGATGTAGAATGGAAATTGCAGTTAAGAACAGCCATTCAAAAAGACACACAGGACAAAAAACGTGAACAGGTGAACAGGTCATGCACAACCAGGTCACACTACCTTTTGCAGCTAGAATACACAACAGGAGAGATGAGTTTAAAAAATAGCTCTGATCCTAAAATATTCACGTCAGAAACATGGAATCATACACACAAAAACGTTCATGTTTTATTACCTTTTTCCTTTTAGGTAATGTTTAGGTTTTAGCTGCTGTTTTGCTGATGAAAGCTTGTTTTCTGTTTGTTTCTGGGGTCCATTTCTGTTTTTGTTTCTGTTCTGTTTGCTCAGACTTCTTCATAAATGAGTGCAGATTAGAAATGCATTATAAAACATATTTATCTTTTAATGCTTTGGCTGATTTCAGGCTTTGAAGTTTGTTTTTTTCTGGTTTTCTGCTCTAAATTGGAGCAGACGACTCGTTAGGATGGACTTTTTGGCAGCCCAGGACCACGAGAGTGCGGCCCTTTTCCAAATGAGGCCCTTCTCATGCAGYGAGCTCCTGTACCTGGTCCTGCTGCTGCTTGGCCAGCTCCATCTGCTGCCTCTGCTTCTCCATCTGTGATGCCGCCAGCTTCTTCTGCTCCTCGTGTGCCGCCAGGAGCTGCTCCCTCAGGCTGCTCAACTGGCCAATCATGCCCATGAGCTGGCGCTCTTTCTCCACCAGGCTGTCTGGGGTACCTAAACGGCGACAGCACACACACAAAAAGACGGGTCAGAGGTGAAATGTAGGCACTTTGAAGAGAAGCTAAAGACTCAGCTAAGGTTTCAATGAGAAGCGTCGTCTTTGCTAAAAGGGAAAATAGAAGCAGTTGAACATCAGTTTCAGCAGAATTAGGTTAAAACGATGCCGTCTTAAAGAACAGTAATGCAACAGGTCAGGGAGGATTGGAGGGGTGAAGCCAGGGGTCGAGCCCCGAGCAACAAGTAAAGACATCAATGACTTAATATATATGACTGGTTGGAAGCAGCAGGAGGGGCCGTGGGGGCCGGCARCAGAAGATCCGCTCGGATAACGTGCATTTGAAGCTCCAACCAGATGTTGACTGGTTTGTCTGAGCAGAGAAAGCCAGCATCAATTAATCAAGCCTCATCCCTCACCGGCTTTTACTGCCTTATTGAAGGGGGGGGGGGAATAAATCTGTCTCAAGAAATATTTGTAAACAGGCAAAATGTGGTGGGGAGCAGGAGAAAAGCAAACGTGAAATCTCCGCCAGATTCATACATTTCGCAAACAAAACCAATCCTCGGCCAGGTTTGGGAATTTACATTTTTTTCCCCAAAAAACCTGGAAGTGAAACGGAGACGTGTTTGGTTTGRGTCGTGTGGACATTTGGAGACAGATCTGCAGCTATCAAGCTGTATTTTTCTGTAATTGAGCTTCAGGAGGGAAAAAAAGAAAAGAAAGGGGGCGGGGGGGCAAAAGAGAGTGTGTCTGGTCTGTGTTTACTCTGCAGTCAGCCAACCTCCTTCTCACATTTAGCTTAGCCTGACCTTTGACCCCTTAGATCCTGACATACCAGCTCCATTACACACACACACACACACACACACACACACACACACGGCCTAAATCATTCAACAGGATGTAGTTATAGGGAGGCACACTGAGGCCCAATCAGCACAAGTGTGTGAGCTCTTGTCTGGTCATATGTACTGATGTTTGCCTACATACCTTTGTTCAGTGTGTGTGTGTGTGTGTGTGTGTGTGTGTGCACGTGTGCAACAGCACAATCCCTCATTGTTCTTCAGCTGCTACCTTTAACAGGACCACATTCCTGTGCCAGTCCAACCAGATGAGGAAAAAATGTGAGACAAGATGTTGGAAGAAAAAGGAAAAAGCAACAGGAGTTAAAGGAAAGTCGTACGTTCAGCTTATTCAACTCTGTCCTGTGTGTAATAAGATATTTTGCTGTGTAATAAGATATTTTGCTAACAGGACAAACACCCTTTTTTAGTTGATGGCAGGCGTTAATGATAAAAGATGTAGAGCAGGGGTGTCAAACTCATTTTCACCGAGGGTCACATGAGTGTTATAGTGGCCCTCGAAGGGCCAGTTGTAGTTAAATTGGACTAAACAGTGTTTTAACACGTCCTCTTTTAAACACTGATAAGAAATAAGTGTACGACTGACTAAATCTAAAGCAATTCAATTCAACTCATTTCGATTCAATTCAGTTTATTTATATAGCGCCAAGTCACAACAACTGTTGTCTCCGGGCACTGTACACAAAAAAACAAAAAACAAATCTAAAGAAATCAGCAGACTGAGCAGAATCTTACAAATACAGAAATATTATTAAAAGTAAAACTAAAAGTTTTACTCACTGATGAGTTTCCAGTGAGTAGCTGCATTATGACAGATTTAGTTTATGGTCGATGTCGACTTTAAAGCAGCTTATTTTCAGACATTAACTGAGCTATCCAGCTAAACTGCTCAGTTACTTAAAGCCAACAGCTCAGGGGCAGGACAGGTATTATCTTTCACCTTTTTAATTTGTTTTGTTGCATTTAATCATAAATTTAAAGTTTACCATTAATTTAAAGTATCAATTTTCATGTTAAGTAAAATAAAAAATAAAAAATTTTCTTTGGGGGGTTACCCCCCTGGTGGGCCACACGGGAGTCACCCTCAGGCCACATCTGGCCCTTGGGCCTTGAATTTGACACGTGATGTAG